TCTATATTTGTATATTGTTATGGCCTTTGGGAAATATCTCTTAACATTTGATGGAATAGGTTCCATGCTTAGGAAGTAGTATGTAAGAATATGTATGCAAAAAGACCTGCAGCCGCTGGTGCCCAGGACCGGGGGGGTCATGGGGTGTGCAGATTGTCCCTCTCCTGGGCCGTAGGCACAGGTGCAACTGCTGGCGCCCGGGACCGTGGGGTGGGTAGCTTGTCCCTCTCCTGGGCTGCAGCCTGGCTGGTCCTCATTTCTCTCTCGCGAGCTCATTTGTGCCTGGCTGGCCCCATTCCTCTCTCCCCAGTGTTGAGTGTCTGAGCCGTTATGGCATGACCGTGTGAGGGCATGATGACCATTTGCATATTAGCTCTTTATTATATAGGATTATATACATATGCACATTCATGTATAAAGATGTTGAGGGTAAGAGGAGAGGAAATTGGAGGAAGGTGGTCGAAAGGTACAAACTTCCAGTTATAAGGTAAATAAGTAGCCCTAACCGGTTTGGCTCAGTGGATAGAGCGTCGGCCTGAGGACTCAAGGGTCCCAGGTTCGATTCCGGTCAAGGGCATGTACCTTGGTTGTGGGCACATCCCCAATAGGGGATGTGCAAGAGGCAGCTGATCGATGTTTCTAACTCTCTATCTCTCTCCCTTCCTCTCTGTAAAAAATCAATAAAATATACATATAAAAAAATTAAGGTAAATAAGTAGGTACTAGGGATGCAATGCACAGCATGATGACGCTAGCTAACACTGCCGTGTGATACATAGAAAAGTTTTTATGACAGTAAATCCTATGAGTTCTTATCACGAGGAGAACATTTTTTCCCTTTTTCTAATTTTTTCTTTCTTTTTATTGCATCTCCATGAAAAGATGGATGTTAGCTAAATCTATGGTGGTAATCATTTCACAATATATGTAAATCAAACCATCGTGCTGTATGCCTTAAACTTATACAGTGATGTGTGTCAATTATTTCTCAATAAAACTGGAAAAATAACCTTTAAGTCATAAACTTATAATGCACTATAACCAAGTAAGCACAACTAAATACAGAATTAAAACTATTGTTTCTTTGGCTTCATCATTATCAATTAAGCTGTCGCACCTTTTCTCTTTTTTAATAAATATGTTTTTATTGATTTTAGAGAGAGGGGAAGGAGGAGGGATAGACAGATAGAAACATTGATGACAGAGAAACATCTCCATCAGCTGCCTCCTGAACGCCCCACACTGGGGATGGAACCCGCAACCCCCGCATGTGCCCTTGACTGGAATCGAACCCAAAACCCTCAGTCTGCAGGGAGACACTCTATCCACTAAGCCAAACCATCTGGGGCTAGATGTCCGTGTTTTTACCTACTGAGCATTCCTTTGGCGGATGCTGCTGCACTCACTGCCATTCCCTGGTTCCTTAGTGGTCGGCAAACTCATTAGTCAACAGAGCCAAATATCAACTACGATTGAAATTTATTTTGAGAGCCAAATTTTTTAAACTTAAACTATATAGGTAGGTATATTGTTATTAACTTAATTAGGGTACTCCTAAGGCTTAGGAAGAGCCACACTCAAGGGGCCAAACAGCTGCATGTGGCTGGCGAGTTGCAGTTTGCCCAACACGGGGCGGAGTCCACATCTGGGTCCCTCAATTTCTGCTGTGAACAGGTGCCCCACGTCTAGCTAATCAGAGGACGCCATTCATCTGGCCACTGTGATTGGTTCAGGGCTGAACACATGATCCAATCTGGACCAATCAGAGGATTCACTTCTTACCTACGCTCCTGGACTGTCAGAGATGCTCTTTTTCTTGGAACTTCTGCAGCTGTCTTTGCCATCACATTGAGAAAGTCCGCACGGACACAGCAGGAGGGAGTAAAAGATTCTGATGGCACCTCTGAGCGTCTGGATCCGCAGAGCTGGAAGGCAGAACTACTTTGGGCATTTTATTTCCGTTCTACACTTTGAGAGCCTCTCACCTAAAGGATTGGGGGGAGGGGGCCAGGAGGAGAAGAGAATAGGCTAGGGGCTGAATGAGGGGCTTGGCAAGGCAGAGCCGGTGAGGGGTGTGGCTGGGAAAGGATAGAGACTTCATTAGTATCACTGTGAGTTTCTTTTAGTGTTCTTGAGAGATGAGAAAGGGAAATTCGATTCCTTTTTAATTACTTTTGTCTGCTAAACTATGTTTCTTTTTTTTTTTTTTTTTTTTTTTTTTTTTTTTTTAAATAATTACACTATTTTAGTTTTCAAAATAATAAGGAAATTCTCATTTTAAAGAAGACTATATGACTTGCTTAGAGTATAATTTTTAAAAATTCATGATTGTAATAATAATCTTATATTGTGTGATTTTATTTATTTATTTATTTATTTATTTATTTTTTAATTAAATCTTTATTGTTCAGATCATTACATTTGTTCCTCTTTTTTTTTCCTCCCATAACTCCCCTCCTCCCAGTTCCCGCCCCACCCTCCGCCCTCACTCCCCACCCACTGTCCTCATCCATAGGTGCACGATTTTTGTCCAGTCTCTTCCCGCATCTCCCACACCCCTTTCCCCCCCGCAAGAATAGTCAGTCCATTCCCTTTCTATGTCCCTGATTCTATTACAATCACCAGTTCATTCTGTTCATCAGATTATTTATTCACTTGATTCTTAGATTCACTTGTTGATAGATGCATATTTGTTGTTCATAATTTGTATCTTTACCTTTTTCTTCCTCTTCCTCTTCTTAAAGGATACCTTTCAGCATTTCATATAATCCTGGTTTGGTGGTGATGAACTCCTTTAGCTTTTCCTTATCTGTGAAGCTCTTTATCTGACCTTCAATTCTGAATGATAGCTTTGCTGGATAAAGTAATCTTGGTTGTAGGTTCTTGGTATTCATCACTTTGAATATTTCTTGCCACTCCCTTCTGGCCTGCAAAGTTTCTGTTGAGAAATCTGCTGACAGTCGTATGGGTATTCCCTTGTAGGTAACTGAGTTTCTTTCTCTTGCTGTTTTTAAGATTCTCTCTTTATCTTTTTCTCTTGGCATTTTAATTATGATGTGTCTTGGTGTGGTCCTCTTTGGATTCCTTTTGTTTGGGGTTCTCTGCGCTTCTTGGACCTGTAAGTCCATTTCTTTCACCAGGTGGGGGAAGTTTTCTGTCATTATTTCTTCAAATAGGTTTTCAATATCTTGGTCTCTCTCATCTTCTGGCACCCCTATAATTCTGATGTTGGTACGCTTGAAGCTGTCCCAGAGGCTCCTTACACTATCCTCGCATTTTTCGATTCTTTTTTCATTTTGCTTTTCCGGTTGGGTGTTTTTTGCTTCCTCGCATTTCAAATCATTGACTTGATTCTTGCGCTCCTCTGGTCTGCTGTCGGGAGTCTGTATAATATTCGTTATTTCAGTCCGTGTATGCTTAATTTCTAGTTGGTTCCCCAATATAAGATCGAGGGTCTTATTAGTTTTCTTGTAGATCTCATTAAGTTTATCGGCGGCTTCTAAACAGTTCTTGAGAGACCTTAAAAGTGTGGTTCTGAACTCTATATCTTCCACTGACAATTTTTTCCTGTTTCTTTGTCTCCGCATTTTGTTATGCTTCCTTGGTGCACCCCCTAGTGGTCTTTGTTCGCAGTCTTATAGTTAAATCTTGATTGTTGTACTAAACTATGTTTCTTGAATGTGACTTACCACCAAGGCTAAACCTATGTGGGTCTTTGAATTCAGGAGGGTTCCAATTGTCCAGTTACTGTCCATTGTTGTCACTAAATGTTTTGTCCATTAGAAAGTGGATACAAGTAAAGGGATGGGCCATGGAAATTTTGCCCCATAGAGTGGGTCACAGTTAGGATTAGCTCTTGTGGAATTGAGGAGGCTGAGCGATCTGTGGAGCCAGACAAAATGATGTATCCCACAGAGACAATGTTAATTGCTTTAACCCGTCACCAAGTATTGTTTTGTGTTGTCTGTGGTATATTAGCTCTTCATCTGGGTTCTCTCTGTCTCTCCAGATTAATGGTACATTCATCATGGCAGGAATCTTGAGTTCTGTGGGTTTTTTCCTCCTTTGTTCTTTCTTTCATTGAACATTTACTGTGTGCCAAGTCCTGCTCTAGACAAATCAAACCAAGTGCTATGACAGAGATAGCTGGTTTACCACTAATATCTCTCCTTCCCTCGTTCTTTAATAATTGAACTTGTGACTTTTTACTGCCATGTGGTTGACATGATAACTACATTTTATGAGTCTCTTTTTAAAAATTCATTTTATTTTTAGTTTTTATTGAGAGAGAGAGAGAGAGATTGAGAGAGAGATTTGTTGTTCTACTTATTTATGCATTCATTGGTTGCTTCTTGTATGTACCCTGACAGGGGTTAAACCCCAAAACCTTGGCATATTGGGATGACACTCTAACCAACTGAGCTGAGCTACCCGGCAAGGGCCAAGCCTCTTTTGGATCTAAGTGTCCTATGGCTAAGTTCTGAGATCTTCTTGTGAGTTTATGTGAGATGTGAGCAGAAATGATGTATGCTCCTTCCAAGTTATTTCATTAAAAGGAATGGATATGCTCTCTCTTTGCCCTTTCTCCTGCCCTTCCCCACTGGCCAGGATGCAGATATGATGGCAAGTGCTGGAGCAGCTACCTTGGACCAGACGGAAGCTGTGTATTAAGGTTGTCAATGCTATTACCCTAGTACCACCTAAATCTGGAATGTTCAGTAAGAGAAAAATAAATTTGATTTTGTTTGAGCCAATAAAGAGGCAGTTAAAAAAAAAAGTGACAAGTGCTGAAATAGAGTTAACCCCATGGTGTTGTGAGGCTATAAATTAGGGCTTGCTCAGCCCTAGGCTGAGATGCTGATTGATAGAAGGCTTATTGAAGAGGGTCCCTGAAAAGGATATCCACAGATGGAAATTGGAGTGGTACTAGACACTTAGGATTCTTTGGCTAAAGTAATAACAACTAAATCCGACAAGGACTATCTTTAAGGAGTCATTAATTTATTTAACAAACATTCACCTATCATTTACTATGGCAGTAATTAAGACAGACCATAAAGAAAAAAAAGGAAAACGAAAACAAAATTCTGCCTTCATGGATTCTATGTTCTAGTAGAGAGAGATTGATTATCTCACAAAACAAGAAATTGAGATCGGTGGCCCTGGGTTGGTAGCTACAGAGGTTCCGTACTGTCGTGAAGGCCCTATGTTCTTTCCATCTCTTCGCTCTGCCTTCCTCAGTGTGTAGACTTTGTCCTCTGTTTTGTAACCTCGTAGTTGAAAATGGCTGCCACTGCTCCAGGCATCACACTGCATGCACATTCATCCAGTAGAGCAGAAGAACATGGGACTGTTTCCTCCCACATAACTTTTTGTTGTTGTTTTTTTCTAGAAGGAAAACTTTCTCAGAACTCCTCAGCAGATTTCAAGTTGCACTTTTCTGATAAATTCCTAATAAAATCAGTGACAATGGGAAGAAAACAACCATGAGGGGCTTAAGTCAGTGGTTCTCAAACTCTTAAAAATTGTAATGGCCCCAAAGAGCTTTGGTGTACATGGTTAGATCGATTGATATTTGCTATGTTAGAAGTTAATACTGAAAAAAAATTTTTTTTAAAGATAAAGTTATTTTTTAAATATATTTTTACTAAAGGTAAAAATATATTCGTGCACCAGTGGGGTCCCTCGGCCTGGCCTGCGGGATCGGGCCAAAACTGGCTTTCTGACATCCCCTGAGGGGTCCTGGATTGCGAGAGGGCGCAGGCCAGGCCGAAGGACCCCACTTGTGCATGATCGGGGCAGGGAGGGACACGGGAGGTTGGCCAGCGGGGAGGGACCATGGGAGGGCTCCAGGGCTTGTCTGGCCTGGCTTGCTCTGTCCTGATTGGACAGACCCCAGCAGCAAGCTAACCTACCAGTAGGAGCGTTTGCCCCCCGGTGGTCAGTGCACGTCATAGTGAGCAGTTGAGTGGCCTTAGCATATTGTTAGCATATTATGCTTTGATTGGTTGAACGGCTGACTGGTTGGCTGGACACTTAGCATATTAGGCTTTTATTATATAGGATTGATTTCAGAGGAAAGGAGAGGGAGAGAGAGATAAAAACATCAATGATGAGCCCTAACCGGTTTGGCTCAGTGGATAGAGCATCAGCCTGCGGACTGAAGGGTCCCAGGTTCGATTCTGGTCAAGGGCATGTACCTTGGTTGTGGGCACATCCCCAGTGAGGGGTGTGCAGGAGGCAGCTGATCAATGTTTCTCTCTCATCAATGTTTCTAACTCTCTGTCCGTCTTCCTTCCTCTCTGTAAAAAAATCAATAAAATATATTTAAAACAAACAAACAAACAAACAAACATCAATGATGAGAGAATCATTGACTGGCTGCCTACTGCACATCCCCTACTGGGGATTGAGCCCACAACCCAGGTATGTGCCCTTAACCAGAATCAAACCCAGGACCATTCAGTCCACAGGCTGATGCTCTATCCACTGAGCCAAACTGGCTAGGGCTGAAAATTTTAATTATACATATTCATTAGTTTATTTAAAATCGAAGGACTTATATGCATGCATATAAGCATAACCAATGGACACAAGACACTGGGGGGTGGGGTAAGGGCATGTGCTGGGGGGTAGGGGAGGCCGGGGGAAAGTTAATGGGGGAAAAAAAGGAGACATATGTACTACTATTTGTAATACTCTAAACAAGAAAATAAAATTAAAAAAAAATAAAATTACCCTTTGCATGTTAACGTAAATAACAAATTTTATGAAAAATAGCTATATTTTCCAAAACAAACAAACAAAAATTAGTGAAAGTGTGGCACTGTTTTGCATTTTTCTTGATCTCTTTAATATCTGGCTTAATAGAAGCTGGGTCCTAATGTCTGCTTCCATATTCAATCCATTGGGATGTGTTGTTTTGTTTGAAATATATGAAGAAATTCAGTCCTCACATAGGTATGTTGTTGCAAAAAGGAGGGCCTTAGCTCGCAGGAGCAGAGGCCCACCTTGGGGTGAGGAGAAGCGCAGACACACCCTTACCCCTTCGGACATTTGAAGCTCTGCCCAGTGTTTAGAACGACTGGAAACCCCTAGGTCTCCTCCTCTTCCTGGGCATAGTGGTGGCCGAGGGGGGAGGGAAAGGGAGCTAGGGAGCTCCGCAGGAGGTTGGAGGAAGGGACATGGTGGGACACCCCCCCCCAAAAAAAGGAGGGCCTTAATGGACCCCCTGGAAGGGCCTCAGGGACCCTCGGGGGCACACCCTGAAAGACACTGGTTTAGAACAGCTCCCTGGGCTATGAAGGACTTAGCCCCACCCCTAACTCTATACAGTTCAGCTTTCCTGTAAACACATGGCTGCTTCCATTCCTGAACAAAGTCACAGCTCTCTTAGTAAGGATAAAGAGCAGAGTGGCTATTGGGCACCATCGTCAACCCTCCGTGTTTGCCACACATTGCTCTGTAGTGGTGGTTTTCAAACATTTCACTGTATCCCACAAGAAAAAAAAATACATTTTATATACACTGCACACATGCATACATCAGAAAGAAAAGTTTTATAAAACAATATTTAGACTTACAACATGCAATACACTCTGATATTTTCTGTTCCTTCTATTCTATTTTATTTCATTAAAAAAAAGTGCTGGCCATAATCCATTAAATTTGTTTCATGACTCACTAGTGGGTCATTATCGTCAGTGTGAAAAATACTTCTCTCTAAGGACTTGATAGATTGGACAGAGGGGCAGGACTGAGGTATCCAAGAGAAGGGAATTCAATAAGAATTGTCTCAAAAGTTGGCTAGGGAAATTCCCTGAGGTACCCGTGTTGATCCTGCCCTTTTCCTTATTGCCTATATTAACTTCTTTATGTTTATCAGGGGAAGGGAGGCTCAACTCAACGGGTCTTAAGTTAAAAAAAAAAAAAAAAAGAAGGAACCTGTTGAATCAGAATAGGAAAACCCAGGAATTTTATAAGCTCAGGCACAGCTGGAACCAGCTGCTCACATGATGGGTAGCTGTCAATCTCTACCTGTAAACTCTAATGTTGGTTGGCATCATTCTCAGGCAATAGTGGCCCTCTTCAGCTCCCCTACTTCCAACGCCACAGAAAAAAAGAAAAGTAATTTTCCCAGTAGTTCTAGAAAAATGTCTCAGTGCTGATGCTCATTGGCTCAGCCTGGGCTGTGTGTCCACCGTAGGAAGGAGATGTTGAGGTCAGCCTCATCTGAACCACATGGGATGAAAATAAACGGGCAGTGGATCCCCAATGGAGAATTAAGAAACTGTTGCTTGAAGAAGGGGAGAGGATTCTGAGCAGGCAAAACCAGCATGTGTTCAATACCCCAAGTTCTGTGAGAGGAGGGAAGGTGTTGGGTCTTGAGCACCATTATGTTTCCAGAGACTGGCACAGACGAGGCTCAGAAAAGACTTGTATGAACAAGGCCTGTTTTGTTTGTCTGATAGTGTAACCTGGACTAATTTGGATTCCCAAAGGGTAAAAGAAGTAAGGATAAATTAATAGATCGGTGGAAGAGAACAGAGAAGCAGGTTTAGACTGACACATTTATGGCCAAGTTATTTTCAACAAAGGCACCAAGATAACTCAGTGAGGAAAAGTTTTGTTTTTCAAGAACTGTTGTTGGAACAATTGTGTATTCACACTAAAAAACATGAAATATGAACTTGACTCCTACCTCACATCATACATAAAAAATATTCAAGGTAGGTAATAGGCATAAAACATAAAAGCTAAAATGTTAAGCTCCTAAAAGAAAATATAGGGCCCATTTAGTATGGGCAAAGATTTCTTAGGAGACCATAGCATTAATCATAAAAGAAAAAATTTATAAATTGGACTTTATCAAAATTAAGAAAATTCTGTTCTTTAAAATTCACTGTTAAGAAAAAAACACTGGAAAAACTAAGATGGCGGCATAGGTAAACACCGGGAAATTGTCGCCTCACACAACAATTGAAAATTACCGCAAAGGACTGAGCAAACATCATCCAGAACAACAGGAAGGCTGGCTGAGTGTAAATTCTACAACTAGAAGGAAAGAAAAGCACGCTGAGAGCCAGAGGCGCTGCGGAGGTGAAGTGCAGAGGTACGGCGGCTTGCGCGCGCGAGGAAAGGGGGTGGCGCCTGAGGACGCGGCTGTCTTTTTGGAATCACAAGCTCCCAACGGCTCTGAACTCCGGTTCCGGGAAGTCTCTGGGGACCCAGGACTCATACGGGGAGAGGCTGGTCTGTCCGGCAGCGGGCGAACTTGAGGGAGGCTTTCCCTCAGAGGTGCTTGCAGCCGTTACCGGGACACTGAGACGCGCGACTCCGGGCGGAGAATCGGCCATAGCTGCTTTCTCCGCCCTTTGATTCCCTGAGACCCCGCCCCACCCAGGCTGCGGCAGAGGCTTTTGCATGTGAATGTACCTAACTGCAGCCTAGCCAGGCAGACCCGGAACTTCCAAGAGAAGGCCCAAGGCCCCGCAGCGGCTTGCATTGCTTCACAGCTGAGCCTCTTCGTGGCTCCTGCTGTGTGGTCTCAGGCAGAGGCTGAATTAGCACCTCCTTAGATCCAGGAGCCACTGTACCCAGTGGTCAGAGGGGGACCATCCATACTGCAACTCCTCAGATCCATAAGGGACACACTCAGGGAGCAGACTCAGTGAGCACCAAAGCCCCACTGAAGCAAGTCTTGCCCCAGAAGGGTGTCTTCAGCACAGTTCTCCCACTTTAGACACAGCTGATTCTCACAGCCAATTGGCCTGGAGGTCAATTCCTCCCAGTGATTCTACAACAACCAAGGCACCAAGAGTGCACCAAGAGTGTCCACCCCAGGTAACTGGGGAGGCTGAGCTACTGGGCCCTACAGGACACCTGGCGCACAGGGCCACTCTATCAACACAGGGAAGCTGCCAAAATGCGGAGACAAAGAAACAGGTCACAAATGGCAGAAATGGAGGAAAGCAAACGATTGGATATAGAGTTCAAGGCCACGTTTATAAGGTTTTTCAAGAATTTTATGGAAACCGCCGATAAATTTAATGAATCCCTCAATAAGTATAGTGAGACCATGGAGGACATGAAAAAGGACCAACTAGAAATTAAGCATACACTGACTGAAATAAAGAATAATTTACAGAGATCCAGCAGTAGACAAGAGGATCCCAAGAATCAAGTCAAAGATTTGAAATACAAAGAAACAAAAAATACCCAACCGAAAAAGAAAAAAGAAAAGAGAGTCCAAAAATATGAAGATAGTGTAAGGAACCTCTGGGACAACTTCAAGCGTACCAACATCAGAATTATAGGGGTACCAGAAGGAGAGAGAGGGCAAGATATTGAAAACCTTTTTGAAGAAATAATGACAGAAAACTTCCCCTACCTGGTGAAAGAAATGGACTTACAAGTCCAGGAAGCGCAGAGAACCCCAAACAAAAGGAATCCAAGGAGGACCACACCAAGACACATCATAATTAAAATGCCAAGAGCAAAAGATAAAGAGAGAATCTTAAAAGCAGCAAGAGAAAGACAGTCAGTTACCTACAAGGGAGTACCCATACGACTGTCAGCTGATTTCTCAACAGAAACCATGCAGGCCAGAAGAGACTGGCAAGAAATATTCAAAGTGATGAATAGCAAGAACCTGCAACCAAGATTACTTTATCCAGCAAAGCTATCATTCAGAATAGAAGGTCAGATAAAGAGCTTCATGGATAAGAAAAAGCTAAAGGAGTTCATCACCACCAAACCAGCATTATCTGAAATGCTGAAAGGTATTCTTTAAGAAGAGGAAGAAGAAAAAGGAACTCGTACCATTTGCCACAGCATGGATGGAACTGGAGAGTGGATAAATACCACATGATCTCACTCATTTGTGGAATATAATGAACAACATAAGCTGATGAACAAGGACTGATCCAGAGATGGAGAGGCATTGATTGGACTGTCGGGACTTGGAGGGAAGGTAGGGGAGGGTGGGGGTAAGGGGGAAAGATCAATCAAAGGACTTATATGCAAGCATATAGGCCTAATCAATGGACATGGACAACGGGGGGGTGAGGGCATGAGCGGAGGGGGGGGGGGGTAGAGGGTAACGTGGGGACAAGGACACATATGTAATATCTTAATCAATAAAAAATATATTAAAAAAAAGAAAAAGAAAAAAACACTGGGTGGTATACTTTAAATGTGTAAGATGGTGAATTTTATGTTATGTAAATTTTATACTAATAACAAATTTCAATAAGCAGCCTATTGCTTGATTGTAAAACTTTAGATTTCCCAAGTATGTAGAATATTATACATTGTTGTCAAGACAACTAAAAAATAAAATAAAAATGAATCACTTAAAAATAAAATAAAAGAGCTCTAGCTGGTTTGTCTCCGTGGATAGAGCGACGGCCTGCGGACTAAAAGGTCCCAGGTTCGATTCCGGTCAAGGGCACATGCCCAGGTTGTGGGCTCAATCCCCAGTAGGGGCCGTGCAGGAGGCAGCCAATCAATGATTCTCTCTCATCATTGATGTTTCTATCTCTTTCTCCCTCTCCCTTCCTCTATATCAATAAAAATATATTTAAAAAAAGAAAGAAAGAAAAGATACCCGGCCTCAGTGGCTCAGCATTGACCTATGAACCAGGAGGTCACAGTTGGGTTGCAGACCTGATCCCCAGTAGGGGGCATACAGGAGGCAGCCAATCAATGATTCTCTCTCATCAATGGTGTTTCTATCTCTTTCTCCCTCTCCCTTCCTCTATATCAATAAAAATATATTTAAAAAAAGAAAGAAAGAAAAGATACCCGGCCTCAGTGGCTCAGCATTGACCTATGAACCAGGAGGTCACAGTTGGGGCACAGTCTGAGTTGTAGGCTCAATCCCCAGTGGGAGGCATGCAGGAGGCAGCCAATTAATGATTCTCTCTCATGGCTGATGTTTCTATCTCTCTCTCCCTTTCTTTCTGAAATCAATAAAAAATATATTTAAAAAAAGAAGAAAAGAAAAAGCAAGCCACAGGCTTAGAGAAAATATTCATAATATATACATCTGACAATTGTAACTAGAATATATAAGGAACTCTTGCAATTCAATAACACGAAGATAAACAACCCAACAAAAAAATTGGATAAAAGGTTTGAACAGACTCTTCACAGAAAAAATTATGTGAATATCCAATAATATATGAAAAGATACTCAATATACATTAGTTATCAGGGAAATGGAAACTAGACCATAAGTAAATACCTTCACACATCTATAAGAATGACTTTTTACAAAACAGACAATACCAAGTGGTGTCAAGGATGTGGAGCAGCTGGAATTCTCATTCATTGCTTGTAGGAATGCAAAATGGTACAACCATTTTGGGAGAGTTTGGCATTTTCTTACAAAGTTAAACATACAGTTATTATCTGACTCAGTACACCTACCCAGATATTCCGATCTTGATTGTGATGGTGGTTACATGACTATATATACAGGGGTGGGCAAAAATAGGTTTATAGTTGTGAATACACAACACAGAGTAAATCTACTTTGCCCACTCCTGTATATATAGTCAAACACAGAACTAAAAAGGATGATTGTTAGTATATGTGAAACCTCAATTAACCGATAACTTTAAAACAAACAGAAAACAACTGACAATAACAAGTAATGGTGAGGATGTGGAGTATCTAGAATCCTCCTCTGTTATTGGTGGGAGTATAAAAGGGTACACCCACTTTGGAAAACTCTTTGGTGATTATTAAACTTAAACATACATCTAACATGCAACACAGCAATTCCACTCCTAAGTATGTCCCCAAGATAAATGAGTGCAGGTGACCACACAGGCTTGTACAACAATGTTCATAGCAACTCTTCATCATAGTCCAAACTAAAAACAACCGAAATATCCAATAGTTGGTGAGTAGATAAACAAATTGTGGTATATAAACTTAGAGACTTAATTTTGTTCACTTCTGTATTCCTAGGATTATTTGCCTGCTTGGCACACAGTCGGGTGCTTACTATGATTAGGTTGTGATGGTTGGCTGGCTGGCTGGCTGGCTGGCTGATTTTAAAATTTGAATAGATAGCATCTATAACAATATGTTTATGTAAATATTTTCTACTGTAGGACAACTATGTTATTGGTCCAAGAGAAAGGAAAATGAGATTTCCTCTCTGGTCCCATTTCCTACCAAGTGGCCCAGGTTCCAGGGCTCCAGTGACATCTTTTATTGTCCCAACGTGTAGAGGCACCTTCTACCAGTGGTGTGCTGGGCTGGCATGGACCAGGTCACAGAAACCGATTGTACACACCTCTTCCCAGCTCCGGGCTCAGGGACTTCATGTTGATATCTTGAAGTTGGGCACGGCAGTAGTATTTACAGCCTACAACTGAAAAACAGGACAAATCAGGGCTTCTTTCCAAGATCCAGGGGTTGAACATTTATCATCACATCATTGTTTAGTGTTGTGTCTAATCCCTGGCTGCCTCTTGGTCTCCTGTTGGCTTCTCAAATCTTCCCTCACCAGTGTAACCAGTTCTCTGCACCAAATTCCCACTGTGGGTATTTATTCTGCCTTCACTAACAAGACACTAAACTTGTTGACAGAAGAGATGCATTTATTTTACCTTTGAAAAAATATTTTTTATTGATTTCAGAGAGGAAGAAAGAGATAGAAACATCAATGATGAGAGAAAATAACAGATCCACCACCTCTTGTACTCACCCCCTACCCCCACTGGGGATTGAAACTGCAACCCGGGCATGTGCCCTTACTGGGAATTGAATCATGACCTTCTGGTTCATAGGTCAATGCTTAACCACTAAGCCACACAGGCTGGACTCTTTTACCTTTTGCTTTTAGAACATTCTAGATCTTTAAGAATATAATTTGTGTGGAGAAAAACCAACTTTCTCCTTCTTTTTAAAATATTTTTATTGATTTCAGAGAAGGGAGAGGGAAAGAGAGATAGAAACATCAATGATGAGAGAGAATCATTGATCGGCCACCTCCTGCACGCCCCCTACGGGGAATTGAGCCTGCAACCCGGCAATGTGCCCTTGACTGGAATCAAACCCAGGACTCTTCAGTCCACAGCGTGACGCTCTATCCACTAAGCCAAATGGGCTAGGGTCCCAACTTTCTTCTTTATGGCATTTTTCACGGAGCCTGTTGACTTCATGTTCTAATTTTCTTGTTCTTATGTCTTACTGGGCCTGCTGCCCATATGTCATCCATTCTTAGGGTTAATTCCTTCATTTCTTGCATACCAAGTCTTCTGCTTGTTTTGGTTTCCATTTTTATTTTTCTGGCATACATCTTGAATTCATTTTTGTGAGAGGAGTTATGCTTGTTTGATATGGAAATATAGGTCTAAAGCACTTTTTGCTTGAAAATTTTAGCTCTGTATTTGGAAGGATTTCCTTGCCCTGATATTCCCAAACACTAATTTGGTCTTTGGCCATGTTTATTCTATTTTCTAGCATATTTATGGATATAAAATGTTTTCCAGTACCCATAGTTCCAAGAACCATTTCCTGTTCTCTCTCTGATTGCTTCTCTTTAATTATAGACTGCTTTTGTTCTGGGTTGCCGCCTTTTTTTTTTTTTTTTTTTTTTTTTATGAAAGGGGCAAAATTTTATAAGCTCTTTTCCCCAACTTTGGCTACATTTTTTTTTCTGAGATGCCTTCTTTAAATAAGTTTATAGACAAAATGTGTTCAAAAAAGGTTTTTGCACAAGTAATAGTGCAATAGCCATAACCAAAATAATCATCATCTTTCAAACATACTATGTTGGTAGGAAAACAGACACTGGCATACATTTCTAGTGCAAAATGACACAACCCTTATGCGGATAATTTACCAGTAAGTGTCCAAAGTGCACTGGCATTTCCCCTTTGACCCAGCAATTCCGCTGTCAGGTATTCCTGTCACAGATACACCTGCGCACCTACAGGAGAAACGAGGACTGAATTTTTCATTGCAGCATTCATTATTGCTCATTGCAAGAGTGGACACAAGCAGCCCTGGCTGGCTAGCTCAGTTGGTTACAGCATTGTCCCGATATATCAAGGTTGCCAGTTCAATTCCCGATTAAGAAGCAACCAATGAATCACAGAGTAGAACAACAAGTTGATGTATGTGTTTTTTTCTCTCTCTCTCAAAATCAGTAAGAAAAAAAAAAAAATTTTAAGTGGAAACAACCAAAGTTTTTTTTTTATATTTTATTGATTTTTTACAGAGAGGAAGGGAGAGAGATAGAGAGTTAGAAACATCAAAGAGAGAGAAACATCGATCAGCTGCCTCCTGCACATCTCCCACTGGGGATATGCCCGCAACCCAGGTACATGCCCTTGACCGGAATCGAACCTGGGACCTTTCAGTCTGCAGGCCGATGCTCTATCCACTGAGCCAAACCGGTTTTGGCCAAAGTTTTCATCTGTGAGAAATAACATAGCCACACATGGAATAGTATGTAGAAATAAAGAAAGGATGAGGGCGCTCTCTTTTTACTGATAGGCCCTATCAGATAGGGGATGACCTCTAGGATATATTGTTAAATAATAAAAAAGCAAGGTGCAGAAAAAATTTATACAGGGTGGCAGCTTTTGTATAAGGGGGCTAATATTTATATTTGCTTAAAGAAATACAGGAAGTATGTAGAAGAAGCTAATGAAAGTGTTTACCAATGGTAGGGGGAGATGGAGGAACTGGGTGGACAGTTGTCTTGATGTATTCCTTTTTATATCATTTTTCTTTTTTTAATATGTATATTTATTGATTTCAGAGAGGAAAGGAGAGAGATAGAAACTTCAGTGATGAGAGAGAATCATTAATTGGCTGCCTCCCACACATCCCCTACTGGGGGAGATTGAGTCCGCAACCCGGGCATGTGCCCTTGGCCAGAATTGAACCTGGGACCCTTTAGTCTGCAGGCTGATGCTCTATCCACTGAGCCAAACCGGGTAGGACTCATTTCTCTTTTTTGAAGCTTATGAATATATTTTCTCTTAAAAATTAAATAGAAAAGTTTAAAAACCAAAATATATTGAGCACTTGTTAAGTGCCAGGTTCTATGTTGAGGGCTTTTCATATATCATTTCATTTAAGCCCGATGCTGAGAAGCAGGAGTAAAGACCCCAATTTACCAAAGAGACTGGTGCTCAGAGAGTTGTTACTTTGGTGAGTTGTAACTAATTTGAACATGGATGTGGCTAACTCAAGATCTTTGCCGTTAACCACTGAGCTGACCACAGCAGTAACATTTAACGACACCCACAGTCCACCTCCCTATTGTATATTTTATTTCATTTTCCCATGTTCCTAGCCTATCCCTGCCCGAATGAATACATCGTTGCTGTGTAATTGTCATTGTAGGGTAGATTGTATTTCATATTTTTTAGGTATTATTTCTAACCGTAGCAAAGAGAGCAGAGGAGAGGGGTGAAATTTGCACTCCAAGGCTTGCCATTTGAGCCAGGAAAGGGAGCTGCAATGGCAAATGGTGAATTAAGATCAGACGCCTCCAAGTTAGGCATGAGAAAAGTGGCTGATCTGGACTCAACTTCAATTCGAAGTGATATTTGAAAACCAATTCAATAAAGTTTTTGGAATAAAATGCATTTCATGATGTTGCCAGCGATGCTTGATGTTCCTTGTCTTGAGGCTGCACCACTCCAATTTCTGCCTCTATTGTCACAACACCTTCTTCTCTGTGTGTCTGTGTCTCTCCTCTTACACGGACGCCAGTCACTGGGTTAGGGCCCACTCTAATCTAGTATGACTTCATCTTAATGGCGGATTCAGGATGCGCTGGCCCCAAACATGGCACTTCGGCAGGCTAAATACTATAAACTGAAGGAATCTGAGACGCACAGGCACAGGCAGGACTTCCTTTTTTAAAAAAATTTTATTTGCAGTGTTTAAAATAATTATTTATTTCTTTAAAAAGTGAGATACATAGTCAAATTCAAAATTTATAGAAGTGTTTATGGTGGAAAGTCTCTATCCCATCTCGGAGAGGAAGGGAGAGGGAGAGAGAGAGATAGAAACATCAATGATGAGAGACAATCATTGATCGGCTGCCTCCTGCACGCCCCACACTGGGGATTGAGCCCACAACCTGGGGATTGAACCGTGACCTTCTGGTTTATAGGTCAATGCTCGACCGCTGAGCCATGCCAGCCAGGCCCCATCCCCCCTCCCCTTTCTTTTGATTTTAGAGAGAGAGAAAGGGAGAGAGAGAGAAAAGAAAAACCTAACCCAACAACATCAATGTATTGTTCCACTTATTTATGCATTCACTGGCTGATTCTTGAATGTGCCCTGACTGGGAATCAAACCCACAACCTTGGTGGATTGGGACGATACTCTAACCAACTGTACATTGGCCAGGGCCAGGAAGGACTTTCCAATCTTCCCCTGAAGCAGGTCTAAGACCCTCGTGTGAGAGGTGTCCTCCCTGTACCTGGAAGAAAGGAGCATCCTTATCTCTGGAGATGGAGGGTCACTGAGAGGAATCCGACAAACAGGCCTCGCTAACTTCCCCCCAGTTCACTGCTCTTAGCTCACATCCTTTTTATCCTATCACATTTTCCAACAGCACTCCACTCATCATCAAACCTAGGATAAAAATACTCAAGTTTAACTGTTTCTTTGGCTCTTCATTTCCTTATAAAGCTTCCCATGCCACGTAAAACTTATATTATTAAATACGTTTGTATGCTTTTCTCTTGTTAATCTGTCTTTTGCTACAGGGGCCCCGGCTGAAAATTTGGAAGGGTAGAATGAAAAGAGATTTTCCCTCTTCTACGTTAACTTGATTACATCAGCAAAGATCCTAATTCTAAATAAGGTCACATTCTGAGGTTCTGGATCCACATTAACTTGAGGAGACACTATTCAATCCAGTCTAGGGTGTGACAGTGTTACTATGCGTCCTGTTTTCCTAAAATTCCAGCTTCTGCTCCACAGTGTATGTGTGTGTGTGTGTAGAGGGCCAGAGAGGTAAGGTTATGTTAGTGAACTAGAAAGTCCAAGTCTAATTCTTTCCCCAAACACCAAAAAGAATTGCCCACTGGGTCCAGGAGATAAGCCTGTGACTCACCCGAGCCTGTCAGAGCCACTGAGATTCAGTCCTGGGATTTTTCTGGAGCCATTAGCTCTGAGTTCCCCTCTGCAGGGGTCACCAAACTGAACATAAAGCGGGCACTCCCAGGGGCCCCCAAGAGGAGGGGCTCCCTGAGCATGGAGTCAAAACAGAGGACGTTAGGTGCAAGGGATGGAGAAGACAAACTCCTCATTCCAGTGATTGAGCTCTGGGATCTAGCTATACCTGTATTCAGTCTGTCATCTGGACTACCAACACTTTAGTTTATGTTTCAGCCT